GGGAAATAGTAGACCGGTTTCGTCAAACGCAAGATTGGCGGGTACCCTGCTCCCCTCCTTCAAACTGTCCCTCAGGGACAGCACCAACGGGTCGGAGCGGTAGCCGTCGCGGATTTGGGCCATGATGTCAGGAGCAGAAACTGAGGTGATGACGCAGAGACGGGAGAGAGCATCGGCGACGACGTTGCTTTTGCCGGGAGTGTAACGGACGGTAAAATCAAACTCTTGCAGAAGGTGTAGCCAGCCAGCTTGGCGCTTGGACAGTTGGGGCTGGGTAGACAGGTAACGCAGACTGTGATGATCAGTGACAACTTCAAATTGGCGCCCTTCGAGGTAGTGGCGCCAGCGTTTCAGAGAGTCGACGATGGCCAGAAGTTCCTGCTCATGAGTGGGATAGTTGCGCTCAGCAGGAGTGAGCTTGCGAGACTCGAAGGCGACAGGGTGGTAGACACGACCGTTGTCTGTAGACTGAGCAAGTTCAGCACCGATGGCTTGCCCGCTGGCGTCAGTGGTGACGCGGGTGAGCACGCCAGTGGAGCTGTCGTTGAACGGTTGCAGCACAGGCGGCGACGTGATGGCCTGTTTCAGAGCTTGAAAGGATGCCTCAGCTTCAGGGGACCAGGAGAACTTGGACAGAGAGCCCGTGAGGGCTGTGATTGGGGCAGCAATTTGCGAGAAACCTTTGATGAACTTGCGGTAGTAGGATGCCAGACCGTGGAAAGATCGAACTTCAGTTGTAGAACGCGGGGTAGGCCAGTTGACAATGGCCTGGACCTTCTTGGGATCAGGACGGATGCCAGTAGACGTGACGATGAAACCGAGAAACTCAACAGAGTCCAGGAAAAAGGAGCACTTGGACAACTTGGCGTAGAGCTTGTGTTTTTGCAGGAGGCTGAGAACTTCACGCAGATGTGACTCATGTTCTTCTTCGGACTTGGAGTAGATCAGGATGTCATCGAGAAATATCACAACGCACTTGTCGAGAAGTGGCCGGAAAATATCGTTCATGAGACGCATAAATGTAGGCGGGGCATTGGTGAGACCAAAAGGTAGCACATTGAACTCGTAGTGACCGTAGCGGGTGCGGAACGCGTTTTGTGAGTGTCACTGTCCATGACACGGAGCTGATGGTAGCCAGACATGAGGTCCAATTTGGAGAAGACTTTGGCACCAGTGAGTTGATCAAGTAGCTCGTCAATACGCGGCAGCGGATACTTGTTCTTGACGGTGAGCTTGTTGAGTAGTCTGTAGTCGATGACCATGCGGCGGGAGCCATCTTTCTTCTTGACAAAGAGGATGGGAGCGCCAAAGGGAGATGTACTGGGCACAATGAAGCCTTTGGACAACAACTCGTCCAGGGTTTGCTTGAGCTCAGCCAACTCTTCTGAAGACAGCCGGTAGGTAGGGCGGCTGGGTGGTTCATGGCCAGGCTCAAGCTCAATCTCGAAATCGACGGCGCGGTTGGGCGGTAGTTCGGCAGGTAATTGGTCTGGGAAGACTTCCTTGAACTGCAGGAGTAGCCGGGTAGCACGAGGGTTGGTAGTCGCAGCGGGCGGCGTGGCAAGAGACGGAGCAGACTGAATATTGATAAGGTAGACTTGATCAGAAGATTCGCTTGAACGGCGGAACTGAACGGCGGAGATGATGTCAACAGGAGTACCAGAAATTGGCTGAATTGTGTGGCACTGGTTGTCGTAGACCGACCGGACGGTGACAGTAGCTTCTCTCCAGTTGATGCTGGGAGAGTGTCTGAGGAGCT